ACAGGAAAAAAAAAAAAATATATATATATATATATATATATATCCTTTCATTTTGTTAAGAAATTTATAAAAGTTTTGTTTCGCAATGTTTATGAAAAGTGATTAATTTTTGTTGCGGAGTTTGAGTGGACAGCCGAAGCCGGGAAACGACGGGTCGTATCCGGTGGATAGGGCGAAGGCGATAAGCGGAGAGAAACTGCTGAGGAACGTCATGCTGGATGACAAGATCGAGCTTTATGCCACGTATGTAAGTCAGTCTCCACCAAATTCCACTTCCCGTTCGAGTCATGTAAGACGCTGTTTAGTTCGTTAATTTGAATTTTTAATTTGAGTTGAGATCTAATTTTATGTGAAAATTTTTATTGTAATAAAAAAGTTAGATATGACTGTTTTTAAAAGTTTTTTACTGTAGTAAAATTTGAATTCTAAACTCAAATCGGTGAAATAAACGGAGCCTAATATTTGATTAAATTACATAAATTCGATCTATTCGCACTATTAAGGCCCCGCTCATTTTATCAATTCGAGTTTTGCTACAGTAAAAAGCTCAGAAACAGTCACATATAACTTTTTTATTACAGTAAAAAACTCTCACATAAAGTCACATCTCAACTTAAATTAAAACCTCGAATCAACGAACTAAACGGACTCTAAATATTAATTTAATAGTACAAAACATCTTAAATATAAATGTTAATGATGATGGTATATTTTACATTAAAAAATATGATATAATTTATTATTTTTATTTTTATTTAAATATATAATATTATTTAAAATGTTAAATTTACGTTTTTTCATAATCATTTAGTTTTGAAAGTTATAAAAGTATATTTTTATTTTAAAATAATTAAAAAATATAAAAATTACAATAATTACATAAAAAATAAACATTTTAACTAATATCAATTAAATTTCAAATTTTTCATATGACATATTTGATAGAAAATTTGCTACAAAATATATTATATAGGAAATTTGATACAACAAATATCATTGTATTTGAGAGTTTTTTTTTACACTTTTAAATTTACAATTAACATATCAATTATAACATTGCATTAGAAATGTTTTAAAGTTCTCTTTTTTTTTTTTTTTTTTTAAAAAGGTCCCAATTATGCACCACATTTTTTCTACCTGTTTGGATGTTAAAATTTAATGGAATTATCAATGGAGTCTATATTTTTAATTTCACCCAACCTAAGAATTTTCATTAAACTTTTCAGTATAAGGTAGCTTAATAGGCTCATCCTCTCTCACTTCCTCATAGTCGTCGTAATCAATGATAAAAATATCAATATTTACAGAAATATCGGTGTTTAAATTTTACAAAAATATCGATATCGGTGGAAATTGACGTAAAAAAAAATTCATACTAAAATATTTTATTTTCAAATGAGATTTTAAAAAATCTTATAATAGATAATAATACATTAATTAGATGAAACTCTCAATCAAAATACCAATTATTTGATAAATATGCAAGATAAAGTGTGATCATAATAATATAAATATTAATCACACGTTCACAAATTAAGTAAATAGCTTAAAGTCAACGTAATATATATATATATATATATATCATACATATATGATTTCATACATGATGATAAACTATCAATACCAAAATGAGCTTCTAGCTAGGAGGTTCGAAGGTATTTTGAACATATTTTTGGTTTAAACAATACTTATACCAAGACATGGAGTTTGAATAGTTTCTTATATAATTTTGGACATGCCATATTTTTTTTAATTTTTTTCTGAAAAAAATAATGTATATATAAAGTTGCGGATATTTTTGTGGAAATTTTACCGATATTTTTACAAAATTTCCGTAAAATTTTCAAGATATTCGGTCCTTTAATACTATGTTTTACTGGGAAATAAAAATCTCCGTGAAAATATATATATTTATGGAAATATGCATGAAAATTTTAAAATATTCTTTGAAAAAGATACTGCACTCCTATTTCTATATCGATACTTTTAAAATACAAAAATTTTTGCTACAGTAAAAATGTCAATATTTTCACTCTGGTCATAATTAACACTTCCTTGAAATGATTTTTTTTTTTTTCCCTGTTTGGTCCATGAATTTGTGCGTACAAATCGACTTCACGAGTGAAGACATTTAAATATACAGTGGAATAGAAGTTGTTTGATTTAAAGGGATTGCCTTTTGCAACAGGGCAAAGTAATGAACTGTGGTGGCGGTGGAAGCTGTGGAACTTGTATCGTAGAGGTACTATAAATGCTAACACCCAACTTGCTTAATTATTGCTAAATGTTTTATTTCTTAAGAAACTGGTTTGTTTATTTTTATTCACATAACTCCCTTTACTTATTACATTATGGTTGTGCTCGTCATCTAACGTATGCACTTACATTTAAAAAAATTATTCAACATCTGTAACATTTAACTAACATTATGTGGCGTATTTTGTTTTTTTATATTCTGCAGATTATTGATGGGCGTGATCTTTTGAATGAAAGAACGAATACTGAATTGAGATATCTTAAGAAGGTAAGCTTAATTTCTCTTCACTCTCTTAATATATATGTGTGTATATATATATATATATATATCCAAATAAGCTCGTAAAATGTTTATTTTATCCTCATTTCCTTCTGATAGTGTCATAGTGCTACGGGCACCAAATTATTAATTGAATTGGCAATACACTTGTCAACTTCTAATTGGTTAGCAAAAAAGAAATGCATAAATAAGTCAAATATCATTAACTAATCATATACTAGTAAGTTTATTGCGACATCATTTTCTGAAATTGATGTTTAGAAGTCGCTCTATAACATCTATTAGCATATCGATTTTGGTTAAAACTTTACAGAAACCTGAATCTTGGAGGCTTGCTTGTCAAACTATTGTGGGAAACAAAGAAAATTCTGGCAAGGTAATATTATGCAGAATTCTTTAACTATTGCAAGTATTTCTCTATTTCAAAGGTTTATTTTTTTCAATCCAATGAGTCTCTTTGCTATTGATTCCAGGTTGTGGTTCAGAGGATACCCCAGTGGAAGAAGTAATTGGAAGCCATATGCCAGGCATTGTATATTGATGCATTTACTTTATAGCCAAAAAAAAAAAAAAAAAAAAAAAAGTTTTAACTACTTTGTTAGAGGTTTGCAACTTTGTTTCATTGCTACAAGACTTGTACATGTAAGAATCCTAGAAGGTGTATTTCAACCTTTTCCTAAGCGTCTTCTTAATAATTTTGTCAAGCAATGCCCATACCACACGTCATCACATGTTTACCCGTTCCACCTTTGAGATGATCTTCCAAATAGTCTATCGTCGTTTTTGCTGGAATATTATTGTTGTACATTGTCGTTAGAGGAAAACGACTTGTCGTTCGTTTTGGAAAATTTTAATAGAAGTGAGTTCATACCCCCAAAAGAGAAGAGAGAGAGTCATAGAAACGAAACTCACTCTCATTTTGGGCCCGTTTGGAACCGTTTTTGAAAATATTTTTAACGTTTTTCGAGGAGAAAAAATGAAATTAGTTTAGAGACCAAGTTTAGAGCAACCTTTATTAAAAAATAAAACTAAAAACATATTTTCTATTTCCCCTAAAAGCGCGAGCTTTTCAAAAACGATTTTTAGTCGTTTTTCTTGTCACGTTTTCATTTTCTCCTCCTTTCCTTTTCTAAACTCTCATATCTTCTCTCTCACAACAAAAAACCTCTCTTCTACTGGAGCTCATATATGGGTTTAGTTATTTATTAATTATTAGTATATTAATTGGGGAGTTTATTAATTATTTACTATATTATTTAAAATACCATGTGATGTTTTTAAAAATGTATAACTAAATAGGGTTTCAATTTTTTTCTTATTCTGAGAATGATCTCTTAATAAAACTACCAAATGCATTTTCAAAAATGATTTCTGCACGAATTTTAAAATATTCTCATATCTAAAATAAAATTATTTTAAAACAGGTTCCAAACGGTACCTTTATTTCTCATCATTTTTCTTCCTAAACAACGTGTATATTTTCGATTACGATTAAAACTCGATTGCATCTGTTTCTACTAAACGACATGTAAATAAACGAGACGTCGTTTATATTTCTAACTTTACTGCCGCCAGCTGAAACGAATTATAAATATTTTTTGTTGTTTATAATAATAAACGGCATCATGTTATTCTTACTTCTGAATCTGCTTTTGTTTTACTTCAGAAAGTTCACGTGCTTTGCCCCTCAAGTACCGTTGTCGTCTATTCTCCTTTGTGTTATGTAGTTTAATGTCGCTCACATTAAACATCTTGTGGTTTATAATTTATCCTTATTATCGTTTAGATATGAAATGAAAGTGACATTTTGTTGATCTGTTAAAATTTGCTGTCGTTTTATGTAATAACAACCGGTGGCTCTTACTCTTAATGTTGGATTCTTAGTCGTTTTATAATAAATACGAGTCATATTCCCATGAATATCTTCTGTCGTGAATTATTGTCTATATAGAAGGATTTTCTTGGACTCTCCTCGAATTTACTGTCGTTACTTGATATTGCTTTTCATACTGTCCTCTCGTAGAAATAGAAAATGTTACCGCTACTAATTATTATAAATTCAAACGACATTCCATTACGTAACATTTTTTGTCATCCATATTAGTGTTGTTCTACTTGGGAAACTACGTGTCGTTTCTTTTATAAAAGGCCAGTAACATTTTTTTCCGTGCATTTTACTTCAGAAACTACGTGTCGTCTGTCTTATAAAGTTGTCGTTTTATTTTCATTTTGTTTCTATTTTTTTTTTTTGGGTTCATATTTTAGAAAACAACACGCTGCTTTCCTTTTATATTCAAGAGTTTTGTGCATGGTTTAGAAAAATAATAATAATAATAACATTTTTGGGTCAATGTTTCCTTCAGCTTTGGAATGGCTTCATGACCAATATATCACGATTAATGGTTAGTGCTAATCCAAATAAATAACAAATATATCCAAATTTCAACGACTTAAATTAGATGAAACATCTAAGGGTGTGAGATTTTAGACAATATACTTGTTTAAAGCTTGTAGCATGTAATGAAACACCTAAGGGTGTGAGATTTTAGACAATTATTTACAAAAGAACTATGAACCGGTTCATTAAACACTTATTAGATGAAATATAACAGTAAATATGCGATTGAAAAACATTTAAATTACAATTTGCAAACAAAAGCAAATCGAAACTTTTAGATCAAGTTTCATCACATTGATATCCTCATGACAAGCAGGCTGCAGGGTTTTCGTCTATATTAGAGAAACAAATTATATTTCACTAAAGATATTTGGAACTTCAAAATTTGACTTCTTTTAACATTTTAGTTGCTGCTGACGTTGATATGTTCAAGTCAGTTTTTTTTTTTTTCAATTATTTTTCCTTTCGTTTTCTCTTATTAAACGTTATAACCTAAAAACCATACGATCTTAACGAATCTAGTACGATATTGGAGTCCATATAAAAACTATAGAACATAAACAATTTAGGCCGAATGGTTTGTCGTTTTCTGGACTCACGGTGTATAAATAGGGAAAATTTTATTTTAGTACCCTGTGTTATATTAAAATATGAGTTTGATGCCCTCTGTTTGGGGGGTTTTTCTTAAGGATTTTTTTGGAGTGTTTTTTTTAGGGGGTTTTTTTTCAGGGTTTTTTTTTTGGGCGTTTTTCTTGGGGGTGATTCAAGGTTTTTTTTTCGGGTTTTTTTTAGGTTTTTTTTTTTTTAGAGTTTTTTTAGGGGTTTTTTTGGGGGTATTTTTTTTGGGTTTTTTGTTGGGGGGTTTTTTTTTTGGAGTTTTTTCGGGGGTTTTTTTTTTGGTGTTGTTTTTGGGAGTGTTTTTTAGGTGTTTTTGGGGATGTTTTTTTTTGGGGTTTTTTCAGGTGTTTTTTTGGGCTTTTTTTT